AAATACGAATGAGAAAAAATTAATAAATAATATTAAATAAATCACCAAATGAAAAACGCATCACATATTTGTACTCTTAAAGTTAGAGTGCAGTGAATGACAAGGAATGGACCTTCCTTGAATAATGGCTGCTGATAAATGGAAATGGCGCTCAATATTACCTTTCTAAACGTTGAATCAAAGTGCAATGAAATGATTGTTGAAATGCATTAGATGAGTGCATCGCGACCGAGAAGAGAAGGGACCACCACCAAACTTCTCACCGGGCTGTCCCGAGACACAGTCTTGTCGTACCGGAGACTAGAAGCGGTTGGTGACCTGTCGGATCCAGTCCAGATAGTGCGCCACTTTGACGTAGACGCCGGGGACGCCGCTCTGTCCGCAGCCCACACCCCAGCTGACGACGCCCACCACGTGCCATGAGCCTCCTCGCTCGCAAACCATGGGGCCGCCGCCGTCACCCTAGAGACGAGAAAAAATAGACGACACCGTTAGTTCCTGGTGAACTAGTGTTTAGGGGGCTAAGAAAAGAACCGGATGAGTCGACGCGTCACGTACCTTGCAAGCGTCCTTGCCCTCCTCGCCGCCAGCGCAGACGAAGCCCTGGTGCAACTTGAAGTCGTAGCCCAGCCTGGTCTGCTGCAGCTGGCGCTCGCACTGCTGGTGCGACACGACGGGGACGTCCACCTCCTTCAGGATGTTCTGGTATTTGCCGAAGTCACCGAACGCGTCCTTGCCCCAGCCGGTGGTCCAGCAGCGGCTGCCGGCGTACTCGGTGTATTGGTCGGGCAGGCAGGCGGGCGAGATGTGCGGCGACTGCGAGAAGTCGACGGCGGACACGAGGCGGATGATGGCCAGGTCGTTGTACAGGGTGCCGGCGTAGAACTCGGGGTGCACCACCACTGCGGACACGTCCCTCTCGACGTGCGGGTAGAACTCTACGTCGTGGTTCACGTCCCACTCTCCGAGACGCACGCGCAGGTCCTGGGCGGCGTAGCTGCAGGCGACACCAGTCATGGTAAGTTCAACAGTTACAGATAACGTAATAGTGCAGTCGCAAGACCGAACGGGGCACGCGGCACTTACCTCTTGATGCAGTGGGCGGCGGTGATGATGTGGACGGCGTCAATGAGGGTGCCCCCGCAGACGTACACGCTCTCGTTGGGGTCCTTCTTGAGGATGGCCACCTGCCAGGGGTACTCGCCGAACTCGGAGTCGCCGTCCACGTACACTGGGTTCTTGATGCGGCCGTTGATGCCCTGCGCCTGCCTGCGGCCGCACTGGCCGCGCTGGGGCTGAGGGCGGTACACGGGGCTCTGGCGGGCGGGCCGGCGGCAGCAGACGTGGCGGGGGCCGCAGCGGGGGCCGAGGCCGTTGCCGTTGCCGTAGAACGCCTGGCGCTGTGGGGGGGACAGAGACGGCCGTTAGGACAAAGTGCGGCGGGGACGCAACACGGGTAGAAGGGTGACAGTATGCGAAACACGAGACGAAGACAAAGAGGTAAAGTACATGGGTAAGACTATTTCGTCGGTAGTAAGAGTCAAAGTCGAAATACTTGTCCGGTCGGCGCAGAGTCCTCGAGCTCGTCGATTGCTTCCCCTCCTCGGGCCGGCACGCCTTACCTTTTGCGCCCCTCTGCCCTCCGCGTCAACTTCTCCATCGACAACTCCCTCACTCTCTTCCACGCCCTCGGGGGCCTCGGCCGGCTCGGCCTCCCGGCGCCGCCGGTCGCTCCGCCGGTCGCTGGGGAAGACGAGGGGCTTGCTGACGGCGCTGTTGGCGTCGCTCTTGGCGAGCGGCAGGGGTCCCGGCTGGTACGGGGGGCGGGGCGGGTCGCTAGCGGTACCGTCCGTGGGGAAGGACAGCGAGCGGTTGTAGTTGCTGCGGTAGACGCCGGCGTACTGGTCGTCGTGGTCCGAGACGTAGCCGCCGCTGGGTTGCCTGAAGCCCGCGTCCAGGGGCGGCTCGGCGAAACTACCGTAACCGCCGCCGTAGCCCGCGGCGTGTGCGGGCGCGTAGGTGTCCGGGTAGTCGGAGGGGTGGCCGGAGTAGCCGGGGCCAACGAGGGGGCCGGAGCCGGGGCCGTGCGAGGGGTAGTCGGGGCCAACCAAGGGGCCAGGGCCGTGCGAAGGGTAGTCGGGGCCAACCAATGGGCCGGGGCCGTGCGAAGGGTAGTCGGGGCCGACCAAGGGACCGGGGCCGTGCGAAGGGTAGTGCGATGGGTAGTCGGGACCGGTCAGCACGCCGGGACCATGGGGACCGTGACCGTGGACTGGGCCGCCGATGGGGCCGCCGGGGCCGACCAGGACGTCGTCAGCGCGGTAGCCGTGGAAGTCCGGAGCGTAGCCGTAGTCGTGGGGCCCATGGTGAAGGTAAGGCGGAGGATGGTCGTGGATGAAAGCTGGCTTGTAGTGCGGCCTCTTGTGGTAGAAGTAGTGCTTGTGGAAGTGGTCGTGCTTGTACTGGTGCTTGTTGTGCAGGCTGTGCAAGAACTTGGACACGAGATACGGGTTCGGCGTCACGTGCAAGTTGACGAACGGCTTGACCACCTTGGCGCCGTACTGGTCCTTGGTGACTTGCACAGACACGAGCGGATTGACGGCGATGGGGCCCAGGTCGATGCCTCCCCCGGCTGCGGCGGGGTTGCCGAGCGGGAAGGGGCCGTGACCGGCTAACGGGTACAGGCCCTGCGCGCCCTGGTTGGGCAGGCCGAACGAGAGGCCGAATGTGGGCTGCACCTGAGCGTTCTGCATAGCGCTCTGCAGGCCCTGGTAGTTGTTGACCCCGAAGAGGCGCTGAAAACCAAGACGCGATTGGCGTACCGGGCTTCACTTCGACCTCCCGTGCACCGAGGGTGCTGTCAGGAGGCGAACTACTTCAGTCCACCGTCCTGCGCGGCGCCGTGGTCGCTTCCGTTGGCTCACATGAGGCATGTTATTTTGTTTTAACCCAACGGGATTAGTTGTTATGGCAGCGACCAGGGACCGACGGCACAACTCTCAGACAGGTTAGGTTAGGTCAACCCAAGCACGGCAATGCACCAGAATACCGCAGGTGAGGGTCCAGCTCAAGGGCCCAGGCGAGGCGGGGCGGGACGGGCCGGGGGACTTGACTTGGGATCTTGTTCGTCAATCTTGGCGAGCGGTGTGGCGAGGCGTTGGAGCAGAGCGCGGGCTAGGGGCACTACTCGAGCACGACGGCCGGGGACGACGAGTCCGAGGCAATTTCACGCATTCTCCTCTCTGATACCCAATGGAGTTGTCATATTCTACCTGTCTGTCTTTTTGTTGGAAGTCAAAGTTAGGTCAAAAATGGAGGGTCAGAGCAACAGCGACACTAGTTCGTCGCAGAGATTATGAAAATGGGTGCAGACGCACAGTTTTGTAAACGAACAAGTATAGTTGCAAAATTGAAGAAATATGAATGGGATGAATGAACCGAAAGTGAACATGAGGCATGAGGCGGGAGGGAAGAGGAGAGACAGCTGAGAGGCTGACACTTACTCCGGAGACCTCGTCCTCGGACTCGCTGATGGCTCTGCCGTTGGGGCTCGGGCTTGCGTCTTCAGAAGCAGCAGCGTGCGAGTCGCCTTCCACCACCCCCTTCGAACCATTGGGCTACAAACCAAAGTGCAGGGGATAGTGTTAGTTCCGGGGCAACTACGGGAACTCCTTCATTACTTATTTAGATTTAGCATAAATACAAAAAGAGGGAAAGTTTTTAGAAGTCTGGTAAAATAATGAGTTAGCTGGGGTGGACTATAAAAATTGATAAAATGTTACTGTTATGTGTTCTGAGAACAGCATTATCAAAAGCGGATGGGATCAGATGGTTGGATTTGAGCAAATAAGGTCGAAGCTATGAAGCCGTGTTCGCTAGTATCACATTAATTACTAGAGTACTTCATGGTGTGAGGACATCAGAGGGACTTGACACTTACCCCGCTGTCACTGCCGTTGCTGGTCTGCCTCTTGCGGCGCTGTTTCACTTCGTCCTTCTTCTCATCGCCCTCTTTCTTTTCCTCGGCGTCGCCCTCTACCTTCTTGTCCTCCTCCGTGGCTGCGCCCTCCTTGTCCTCCTGTGGTGTGTAAGCGGGGCCGTTAGTGGTGCTGGTTGAAGTGCGGCTAGAGCGAGGGTGAGTGAGGGGGGTGGGTAGGGGGAGGTGTCGTGTGGTGCAGACCATTCTACTGCCCGTGCCAGCAAGAGGGGTGCGCAGCTCCACGCTTACCTGGCGCTGCGTCCGCGTCCGCCGCACGGGTGAGCTTACAGTTGTCAAACACAATCACGATCTCCTCCACCACCACTCCCCCTCGCCTCACAGACTTCCCCACCCCTCCGCCCCCACCCTCTTTCATCCGTAATCCTTCACGGCATTAGCATACAGTGAGCAAAGAGAGAGTGACAGAAGATAGTGGCGCCCCAGCCGCCCGCACAAATACTGCGAGGGAACAGTTTGTTTTGCTCATTGTTGCGCCGCCATTGTCTTTGACAAATTATCCGCGACGATATGCCCGGCGGAGGAAAGCGCCACTTAAGTTGTGACACTGTCCGCGCGGACTCGACGCGCTTCGAAAGTTATTTCCCATGGACCCATCAGGGGCGACTCACCGCCTGTGCGCCGGCCGCCGGGGAGACGATGGTGCCGTTCTCGTCGGTGACGACCGGCTCGTCGGCCAGGATGTCGCTGCCGGGGGCGTTACGCGGGTCGATGAAGCCGTTGCCGTCCTCCTTGCGGAGGATCTCGTGCGCCGGGCACTGCTCGACGGGCACGCAGAAGCAGTCGCCGCCCTCGGCGCGGCCGGTCTCGGAGGCGTAGCGGTTGCCGTAGGGGGAGCCGCCCAGGCTGTTGGCTGTACGGGGGAGAGACGGGGTCAGAGAGGAGTGTCGACAGACAGACCGTGGCAGGAGAGACGCGCGCGGGCAGAGTACTCACCGACGGGCTGCTTCAGGTTGAGCTCCTTCTTGTAGAAGGCCTGGTTGGGCGGGTAGACGGGGCCAGGGGTGAAGCCGGTGGTGGCGGGGTTGTAGGAGCTGGCCGCCGGGGCGTAGGAGCTGCCGTAGCCGCCCAGGCCGGAGCCGGCGCTCTCGTACACGGGGCGGGCGCCGGTGATGCCGTTGATGCCGCTGTTGACGGGGCCGACGGGGCTGCCGCCGATGCCCGCGGTGCCGCCGGCCAGGGAGGCCACGGTGTTGTCGGCGTGGTGGAAGTGGTGGTGCACGTGCTGCTGCGCGCCGGCCGCGATCACGCCCGCGCCGGAGCCGGAGGGGACGTGCTCGGGCACGTGGTAGGCGCCCTTCTTCTTGTTGAAGCCGTGGAGGGACTCGAAGGCGTAGGGAGCGTCAACAGGGCCGGCGGGGACCTCGTAGGAGGGAGGGGGAGGGGGGACCTTGTGGCCGGGGTAGTAGGGACCG